TGGTGACCACCAGGTCCAGTATTGCATCCCCTCTGGTAGGGGTATCTATTACCTGGCTCAAGACGTTGTCCTCAATGTATTCCAGGAGTCTTCTGGATTGCCTATAGCTTGCCATTTTACTTTTCCAGCCGATGTCAGGGTGGTTGAAATCCCCCAGAAGGATGAGAGCCTGAGAGCTCCAAAGGAAGGCAAGGAAGGCTGACTTATGAGGAATGACTGAGGATACAAGGTTTGTTCAGCTTAGAGGAGACTGAGGGGTTACCTTGTTGCTGTGTACGTCTTCCTCATGAGAGGGAGCAGAGAGGGAGGTGCTGGTCCTTTCTCTCTGGTGTCTGGTGATAGGATGTGAGGGGATGGCTTACAGCTGTGTCAGGGAAAGTTCAGATTGGATATTATGAAAAAGTTCTTCACGAAGAGGGTGGCCTAGCAATTTACCAAGCTCCCTAGGGAAGTGGTCCATGGCCCCACACCTGTTGATGTTCAAAAAGCATTTGGACAACACACTTGGATATATGGTTTAACTTTTAGGTTGCCCTGTGTGGAGTGGCACACTGCTGGGCAACAGGTTGAGGGCTCATACTAGCCCCCAGTCCCTCTAACCCTTGCATATCATCCCCTAGCCTGTCGCTGGCAAGCCTGATAGGTTCCCCTTCACATCTAGTTTAAAGCCCTGTCAATGAGCCCCGCAAGCTCTTGGGCAAAGACCCTCTTTCCCCTTTGAGAAAGCTGGCTCCCATTTGACGCCAGCAAGCCCGGGGTGCTGTGTAGACCATCCCATGGTCGAAGAACCCAAAGTTGTGGTGGCGACACCAGTTGCGAAGCCACGTGTTAATAGATTGAGTCTGCCTGTATTGCCCAGTGTCTCTGCCAAGAATAGTTGAATTTTATCTGGTTTTGTTGCTGAAGTATATACTGCTTACTAACTTTCTATTCTGGAGCTTACACTGACGATGTATGAAGTCAGATATATTCATAGGTGGATGTTTGCTGCTGAATTAACTAGTCATCGCTTCTTTGTGGAGTTTTTCAGTAGCTCTCAAATTCAGGATAGGCAGAACAAGAAACAACTGCTATGCAAATCTGAAAACTAAGAACCAGAACAAAACAGCCAATGTACTTCTGAAAATTGGCTTTCCAGATATTTTGCATCTGAGAAAGCCATCCTTCTTCCATTCCCTTTACTCTTGATGATGATGATATTTTATGATACCCTGGCAAAACAAGAACTTGATTCTTCTCTTCCTTTTATGGTTTTGGCTAGGAATTAATTCACATATTGAGAAGTGAGGGTAGTGGGCAGGATCCTTTTGTCAAGCAGAGGCACCAAGGAGGGCATTAGTGACTAATGCCACACCTGAGGTAGCCTTAACATCTGCTGTGGTCTCAAGGGAGGTGGTGTGTTGTCGAGGGTTTTGTCATAAAGCTGTAAATCTGGCTGCTGGTGTTCCCTGTTCAACCTGCAACACCCTCCTACGTGAAGATGGTGGTGGAGATGGTCTGTGTCTGAGTCAGAACATGCTGCTAGTTACTGCTTTTAGCATGTACACCAACCTGGCAGAGGGCCTCTTAAGCTCTTAGTATCTAGTTAGTGTGTGTCCCCTTCTCCTCCCAGACCCCTTCAGTGGAATATGTAAGTAAAAAATGCTTTGGCATTTCAGACAGGGGAGTTTGAAGTCTTTAATAAAAATGAAATTGAGAATTCAGGTTAAAATACTAGGTTTGTGGTGCTGTTTAAAAGCAAAATGTCATGTTTTCCAGCCATGAACACACGTACCACCAGATTTCCACATTTTTTTATGCTCCCAGTTCGAAATACTCTGGGCATGTGTAACTATTTATTTAATCTGAAACATTGAATTCAACTCTTAAATGACATTGTATCTTGTCCTACAGCTACCCTGAAGGGCACTCAGGATGAATTAAACAAGAAAGCACTTCAGACTTTGGAGAGGTGAGTAGGAATCTTGCAGATACTTGCATCGTGTATTTCTTTGGATGAATTCAGAATAAATGTTGATTTTAATGTTTTTTTCTTCTGCGTAAGGCTTCTTTGCCTGAAAGTTTAAAAACCGTGCAATAGATTTCAGCAAGAGTTTGTCAGAATGATTCCTGTGATGGCTAAATGCAGTGATTATTTGGTTGAATATCCAAGAGTACCTGTTCTGCCACTGAACAGAAATAACATTAGCCCCAAATTAGCCGCAGTGAGATCTACAGTGCTGGGAGATGCAGCTTCCTCAGATGATGCCAGCAGGCAAATGTGGAAAGTTCGTTTTGTCTCCATTCCTCTGTGAAGCCAGCTTAAATTCCTATTTCCCTCATAGTGGGAAGGTACCTTCACCACCAGGGTGTAGGCTGCCATGGGGTGACCCGGCATCAGTGCACTTACCAGGGTGGGATGATTGCTCTTCTGTGAGTGTTTACATGACCTGTTGTATGAAAGGGGGGCTACAGAGCTAGCGGTACAAAGCAGTCACCACTCACCTGTTCTTCACCACTGTATTTTGTGGGGGAGTCTGATCCAATGGCTCTGCCTGTAAAAGTATCTGTGAATTAAACACCTCTGCAACTACAGTTACCTCAAGTAAAACTGCTTGGGTTAAAACCCTTTTCTGTCAGTTCTGTTGTGGTAGAGAGGTGAGGTGTGAGCTTCCTGACCCTGTTACGACTAAGTTACACCACCTAAAATACACTAAGTGGTGATTGGGCAGTTAACATTGCAAATGTAGATGGCTACAGACTTGGGATGGTAACTAAACAGAAGCTTATATGGTCTAAGTCTTGGGCTGAAGAATCTAATTCTTGCTGTGGTAATAAATGCATTACAAAAGTGAAGAAAATTTGAGATCTCTGATATCTCAAAGTACAGCTGTAGCAGATTGGACATGTTACTGGATCTTAGCTGTTTTTCTGATGCAAAGCAAGGAGTTGTCCAGCATGTTTGTCTTGCACTGGTAGTAACCTGAAACCACAGATGTAATTCTGAAAGATAAAATTTTACAAAGCCACTTATTCAGTCTCTTTTTAGATCAGGAGTATAGTCTAAGTCACACTGATTCCTAGACTCCAATGTAATACTTTCACTACTGCCCAATTTTGATGTAATTACAGTGCTGCAGTGCTTTTAAACTGCATTTATTTTTATCCTTTGACCTTTACCACTGGCTGTGGCTTATTTTCATGGTATCTTAACCCTAGCTAGGAAGCAGACAAGCTTCTAGCCAAACATTAGGTACTCAAACTTCAGCCAACAGGGATGTTGTGATAGTGAGCTGGTTACTAGGGTCTTCCTAAATGCCTGAGTTTGGCTTCTTTCTTTTTTCCTTTTCTTTCATTTCCTCTTCCTTGTTTTTCACCTGTTTTTAAAGTACATGTATGATCTCGCAGGCCATGGTTTGGCCTGTAGCCATCTTTGTAAGCGGCCTTGTCAGCTGGAAGATTGGATCAAATATTTTTCTAATACCTTTTGAGGAAACTGAACAGTAAAGTAACAACTCTTTGTTTCTTTCCAAAAGCACTGTTAAATCCCTTCTCCCATACGCCCTTGTGAACTTTTCCCTGTTATTTATTGTTGGAGAGGCTGCTGAAGGTTTCACGGGAGCTGATTGCTAAAGAGGCAGCTCACCCTGCTCCAACAGCTTAGGGCAAAGCTGGGTTCTATCTTGCGGAATGTTGTTGTTCTTGTTTGGTTTTAGTTTTGTTTTGTTGTTTTTAAGTGGAGGGAGAAATTAGTGACTTGCCTGTACTAATTGCATCCTTGATGTCTTTGGCATTGCTTCAGAATCCTTGAGTGCTACCTTGACTTGCAGAATTACAGGACACATTCAGTCTGTATTAAATTAATTAGTTCTAGAGCCATTAGTTATAGAAGTCAACTCCAACAGCTTATTGCTCACAGGCCGAGATGGCATTTGAGAGATGGCTGTCATGAAAATGGTGTGTGGTTTGTTTCCTGAAGTAATTCTTGGATTTTTGTTTGTTTGTTTATTATTAGCAAATGAATAGTTTTGGCAGGGTTTTTAACCACCAGCCTTGTCAGCCTGTCATAAGGGTGTTAATTGTTCTCACTTTGGGCAGGATAATGCAGGTGCAGGCTTCCCTGGTGTTTTGGAATGCAGCCCAGAAAGAGGTCAGGAATGTCAGTTGGCTACAAAGGATCTTCCTCTTCCCCACCTCTCCCATGTGAAATGAATTCCCTGTGCCACAGAGCTAGGAGTGGGTCAGTGAGGGGATAATCCATTGGTCCCTGGACTAGGCTGCCAGTGTGGCATGAACCAGTGTGGCATGAACCAGTGTCCCATGTTGCTGCTGGTTTAAGTCCCCAAAACACTATCTTCATGTTGCCTTGGTTAATGGCTTCTCCACAGGCTAGCAAGCTCAGGCTGCAGTTTCATGCTTAGCATAATCTGAGAGGGACAGTTCTGCCGTGGTTGTCCATCCCTGTTCCCTGCCTGTGTAAAGGGCCTCCACATCTGGTTCTGGAGACGCTGCAGCCTTCACTAGCCAAGGGATCGCTGCAGTGCACACTGTTGCCTGCGGTGGACTAGAAGGTAATATCTAAGGTCCAAGCTTGAGAAGTAAGGGCCTTGGTTTTGCTCCAGGCTCAGCTCCTGCCATCAAATCCACATTCCTCCCTCAGTGTCTTCCCTTTCCAAATTAGGAGTCTACTGTCAACAGTTAGCCTAGAAGCTGCAGGGTGGAGGATGTTTTGTGTGTTTGAGCACCAGCTCACGTCATGGGCTCCTGATCTTTAGTCTTCCACATACTCATAATCACAATAATAGCAGAAACCATTACTACTTTTTCAGTGCTAACCTAACCCTCTCCTCCTGTTTGAAAAATGGCAATACAGGAACAGTTGGACAACTATCTCCCTCACCTAAATTACTTAAAATAATGCTTTAATGGGTGTGTCATGAGTTAAGAGCTACTTTTTCCGTATCAGTTATCCAAGTTCCAAAACATTAAGTGGCATTTAATGAAGGAGTATGTATGCTGTATAACATCCTGAAGTTGTGTTTCTCATGCTTGTTCCTGTGAGCCTGGCTTAGCCAGGCCAGCACTGATGTGCTTTTTGCCTGGTTTCTGCGTGCTCCCCCGTTACTGGCCTAGATTTCTGTAGGAGAGGACTGGGTTTTGTTCTGTGCTTGTGTGTGACTCATAGTGAAGGAGTTCTGCAAAGTACAATCTTACAGTCACTTTTCTTTTTATATTGTATGGTCGTCCTTAAAGAGCACGTGACTTGGCCCCAGAAGATCACCAAATCATCCTCTACCTATCACTGCAGCTGGCTCTTGTCAGACAGGTATGTGCAATGCTTGGTAACCACTGAGTCATCAGAGGGTGGGAGAAGGACAGTGCAATTGAACAAGACCCAGACTTGCTGAACAGAGTCCCTTCCTTCCTACGTTGTAATCGATAACAATCAGAATATGTTCGTGTAAGATATTTTTTAATACTATTTTTTAAATAGTAACTCTATAGCAAATGGAACGACCTTCCCTAGGGCATGCATTCAGCTCTAACCGCATGAGCAGTGCTGTTCCCGCTTGGAGCAACTCTGTCTGGGTGGGGCGGGCGAGGTGTGTTTATTCCTGTTCCCTGGGTATCGTGCTGTGTCCTGCTGCAGGCTGCTCCAAAGGCGCTCTCATTACTGCCCGGTTCTGTATCACACCAGATCGCACGCTCTCTGTACTGGGGATTGGTTTATTCCATACTTGGGCACGTTTGGCGTTAGGCTTTGACGGGTGCTGGAGCTCTGCAGCGAGTGGGATTAGTTGGCATTTGAATGCTGCTGCAGGTGTTAACTCATAAAAATTAAGCTGATCAGAAAATACACTGCACTGCCTTTCAGAAAAAAAAAAAAACATTTAGGCTGCACTTTATTTTTCTGTCCCTTCTTTTTATAATTGGGATGTGTTTTATTTATGTTTAAAAGCCAAAGTCTTTATTGGAACAGCCCCTGTTTTTTGAATGCTTCTCTAGCTAGATTTGAAATTTCATCATCATAGTTTCCTTCTTTGGCAGGCTTTCTGCTTGCTGCAGTTTTCTCTCCTTAGTCTACACTACAGAGTCAAACAGTTGGATCCTTCTTATTTTCCTGAGCTAATTAGGGGAGCTGTGTGTTCATTAGGTTAAACTAATTGTTCCAAGAGAGCACACTGTTGATAATGTCACTTTTGTAACCCTTTCATAATGAGAGCAGTGTGTTGTGAGGAAGCCTGCAATAAGAAAGGATAATTAAAATGGCTTATTTAACTTTCTCATCTGCCTACTGGCTGCTTTATGATGCAGTTTGCTCAGTGACTTTCATTAAAAAATATCCAGCTACCCTTCTTTCTTTCACAGCTTTTGCCTCGCAGGGAGGGTGTCTGATCTGCTGCCTTTCCTGCTTCTTGCCATGAGTAAAAGCATTACAGCTTTTCAGCTGCTATCCTTAAAAATAAAATCAGAATTTTTGTGGTCATTGGTTCTTTGTTGTTTTCACTGTTACTGACCCACTGCATTTTAACTCCATATCCTTTCTTTTTCTCCAGTTGTAGCCTGTCTTTACTGTGTTGTTTCATATGTCTCATTTCATCATTTCCCTTCCCTCCTGTTCTTTCAATTCAGTCTCTTGTCCTCATGTTCACTTTCTTTTTTCTCTACCTCACCTGTGTATTTTCATCCTTGATGTTCTGCCAGTCGCCCCTGCTACCATAGATGTGTGATCTAAGTGTGTTACGTCGTGTCAGCCTGACCCCTGTGATGCTGCTCCTGCTCTTCTCCATCTAGTGAGATATAAATCTTTAACGCATGCTTGGAGAGAGAGGAGATACCTGAGACATCTTTATTTTTAGACTGCTGTAAAATATCCTACTCTTCTTTTGCCAGTTTACTTAATGATAAGCATTTGGTAATGCATTTTTAATATCCTTAATTATTTAAAGTATCTAATATATTCTCTTTCTGATTAACTGAAAGATAAATGATACCTTTCTTTGATAATTACATTAACTATTGAACGTCACCATTAGGGCTTTCATCAGGCAATGCTATAGTACCAACAAATCAGGCCATTCCTGCACAGTAGGTTATATTATAATACCTGAATGTTATTCTCAACAAATAGGCCTTTTTGTTTCCATAGTCAAGGTCAATAAGTGAGGTAACCTTACCCAACACTGAAAAATCTAGGTGTCAGCTTGCACAGATAAGAGAGCGTTTTCATGGACCAAAGCAAGAGAGGCAGTTGGCTGGTATGGTGCCAAGCAAAGTTGGAGCAATTCATCTTCCTTGGAAGACTCTGTAAAATATTTCCAATAGCACTTGTCTGTCAGCACTGGGCAAGGGAGAGGGGAAATGGAAAAGCATAAGCTTCCCTCTGATATGCGATGAAGACGTGACAAGAGGAGGAACGGTTATAAAAGGTTTTCACAGGGTTGGCAGTTGAAAACCACCAGCAACCAAAGTTGATGATGATGTTCTTCATGCTTGTGTTTGTGTGTGTGGCTCTGCATATTAAAGACCACAGGAGTCACTGGGAGGACTCCAGTGACTCCCGGAGGGTCTAGGTCAGCCCCACAGTGTTTTAGGTAGATTTTTCAGCAAAATACAGAATACCCTTTTCTGTAAGGAGGGTCTCAATTGGGTTTTCTCCTGAAGTTGAAGTGCCATGAGGCCAAGGTCGGTATTTGCTGTGGTGGCTATCTCCACCTGCAGTGCCCCTCTGGCAACCGGCCGAGCCGATCAACAAATGAGGCTCGTAACTCCCAATTCCCGGGCAGCTGGTTCGGCTGCTTTTCCTGTTTCTGTGGTAACAGCATTTGGATCAGCAAAAACAAGGTAGAATGAACATTTTAAAGCTCACTGATTTTAATGCCTTGCCTTGTTTTTTAGCAGGCCAGTTTCTATGGAAATGACTCTGGAGAGTCAGCATTCTTGTTAATTTTAAGTGCTGGTTCCCTCCTTGTTTTGGGTGGTGGTGTTGTTTTTGACCTTGAATGCCATGTAAATCAGTATTGGATACATAAAAACAACGTATGGGGGTTTCGTACCATTTTAATACTTGATTTAATTTGACCTTTCTTTGCATGAAAATAGGAAGGGAAAGACAGCCAGGGGCCAGCAGCTGAGAATTAGAGGTCTCATTTATCAATTTCATCTGTGGGCTGCCAACCGACCTGAAGTTTCAAGTGGCAATATCCAAAAACCACCTACCGCCTTCCCAGGTGGCTGTGTAAAAATAAGATAAACATCAGTTAAGACACCGGAGAAAATATTTCAGCTCTTTTCTCCGCAGTTTGTATTCCAGTTTCAAGGCAGCGAGGTGACTGTCTTTTCTTTGCCCCAGGAGAGGAGCTGTCTTTTAGTAGACATCGAGAGGTGCTTCTTTCAGCAACTGTTGGATGTGGGTAGTTCTGATCTGTGTTTCTCACAAACCAGCTAGTGCCTCCTCTGCTGAACAGCAACATGATGCTTTTCTGTCTAGGTCCTGGCCTAGATTTTTCTGGTGATCAAAACCAGCTTGTGGTAAGAATTAAGTAATAACTTAACTCACAGATAACGTCTGTGCCTGCTTTCGTGGAGTGGTGGACTGTAGCAAGTTTGTTTTCAATGGAAGATCTTGCCAGTCAATAAAGCTCTCTCCTTTCTCTAAACCCTGTTCTATAAAGAGATTGAGAGGATAGTTTTAATGGTTAATTAATTGTAACTCACAACTGATGTGAAACTATAAGGCCTGAAAACTCCTCTTATGAAGTCCTGTTTCATTTACCATTCTGAATATGCAAGTGCGTTCTACTGTTGGGAACTATTTTTAACGCTTTTTCCTTTTTATACCTACAATTGTAACATCCCAGCGTCTTTTTTAAGGAAGCATATAGCATTATTGAAATAAATCCTATCATATGAGGCAGCCTAAACAATCCATATTGTGGCATTATTTTGGTAGTGCTGCAAGATGCTATTTCTGGCTTACTGCAGTATCTTTGCTTCCTAATCAGTGTGATCTGAATATACCTGTATGCCAACAGAATGTGTGTGGTACATTTATTAACAGAAGGATGAATCAGGGAAGGGTAGCATCTTCTAATTGCAGGCCCCACTTGGACTTGCAGTCCAGCTGAAATAAGATTACTTTAAAGCACAGCACTTGTAGGGAATTTAAACTGGCAGCCTACCTCTGATACAGCCCTGAAGTTTCCATCTTTCTCATATTACATAGTTACTTAAATAAATAAGCTGTGGCATCGGTCAATAGATTGATGATCTCTGCTTTTCAAAAGAAGTTTGTGTTGACTGCTGCCAAGTATCTTACTCTTATTATTCTAGAAATTTAGTTTGTATTTTGTTGCACCTGGTCTGTTGCAGGTTGTTGGTTTGTATAATGCTTCCCATAAAGGAACAGAGTCTCTTCATATTATTAAAGGGTATTTTTTCTTTTCTGTGTTTTGTCCACTGTTTCTCATTATGCAGCAGTACTGAGTAGGCTACTAATGGTGTTACAGCACTAAAGAATCTTTTTGGGCTCAAGTTAAACAGTCAGGTGTCAGGGAAGCATAATTAACTTCCAAAACCAGCCACTGTCTGTGACTGATGGTACTAGAGGGAAGCACTGAAATGAGGTGTAATCATTGCAAGTCCTATGCTACAGAGCAGGGGAAAATTATTTTAGATTGTCTGTTTCAACAGCATGTGACTGCCTGCTCAGCAGGTACAGGTTTGCAGGAGCGACCACAATTGACTTCTGTGCTGCTTTATTTCATGTATGTTGCAACAGAGTCAGAGAGCTGCTTTGATAGCTGGCCTCTGATAGGGGTATGAACATACTACAGTTATGTGATCGTCAGGCATTTGCACATATAAAGCAAATTCTCAGTGACTTTGTTTGCATGTTCGCATGCAAGTAAGGTCAAGTATCCTTGCAACTTCAGAGTCCCTCAGTAAAGACACTAGTTGCAACTATTATTCTTTGTCTGATTCATACTAGCAAATTAGGATCACCTTCCCGAGTCTTTTAATAGAGTCGTAGACTAGTTGAGTTTGGAAGGGACCTCTGGAGATCACCCAGTTCAATCCCTGCTCAAATCAGGGTCAGCTGGAACAGGTTGCTCAAAGCCCCCTTCAATTTGGTTTACAGATTTTCTTTTTCTTCTGATGAACGAACTTTTCCCCAAACTGGGAGTTTCTTTATGACTACTTGTGTAGGTCTAAGACAGAGGTATAGAAAAAATAAGAGGTGTTTTTAGTCCTGAGTGCAAGAAGAGTCTTGATAGCAGCTTTGTTTTAGCCAGTCAAATTTACATACATCTGGTATACATACTGAAGAACTTCATGGACAGATCTGGGCCCACTACAGTCTCATGCCCGTTGTCCTCGTTCCAAGTTGTCTTGTCATTGCTAGTGTTTTTACATTGTAAGAAAATATGTCCTAATAAGCAGCTGAGGGAACACTGGTGATTTAAGCCAATGTCTTTACCTTTGCAGTAGGCTATAATAACACATGTGGTTAAAGTAGCTCCACTGACAAGCAGTAATTCATTAAAGCTGAGCACTCAGTCATATATCCCAACCTGAATCTAAGCCAGGACGTTCAGCAGTTTGGAAGCTGTGGGCCAGATGCCAGTTTGGGGTTATGTCGGTGGAGCAGTTGCACTGATCTCCAGACTTGCATGAAGTCACCAGTAATAAAGTAGTTAAGCACTTTGGCTTGCACGGGCATGGTAGGAGTGAAATGTCACTTGGACATTAGGATGAAGTTGTCCCACAAACAGAACATGTACCGTCCTCCCAGAAGTGTACCTGGGATCTAGATAATCAGTGACCTCTGTGGTAACTGCAAGCAGCGTAATTGTTGCTTTCTGTAGTTGTGTGCTGCCTGTTTTCCTGAGTGATCTCTGGAGGTGGTGGGAATTTGACACTGGTGGTATGCCAAGGCAGGAGAATGTCTGCAAAGCTTTGCTATGTGGGAAGTTCTTGTAGTAGGAAAGAAGGAGCTACATTCTCCATCCCTCAAGGGGAAGGAGAGGGAAGGTGTGTATAGGAGAACAAATCTATACATTCTTCTGTTTTGTTTTCTGCAAGCTTCTGGGGCCAAACACAGATCTGGAATAATTTAAGTAACAGTAATTCCAGACACTAGAGAATCGTAAAGAAAATCTTCCATATAAAACTTACTGGTAGCCAAAGGAAGGAAAATCTACTAAGAAGTTCCCTTTTGAACAGATAGCCTAACATAGGGTATTAGATCACACAGAGCATGTGATACACTTGCATTCATTACAGATGTTTTCTGCCAAGTGAGACTTGATTCTAATGACATGCTGCTGCTGTGTCAGGACTGCTTTTTACATCACTGCTTCCAAAGATATTTCATTTTCTGACAGCATTTTGAATCTTGACTCTCTTACCCTTGAACATTCAAACTTAATTTTTATGTTCTTGATCCAAATCATGAAGTGCCTTGTACAGCCATCACAAGAGACAAAATGCAGCAGAGATGTGTAATGCTCTCCCCCAGGTGAAGAGCCAGCCACCTATCCTAGAAAATGGAGTTGAGAGTTGGGCCTTGGTAGTGGATCTGTTTACAGCATAGAAGCACCATGCCAAAATAAGAGGGGGTTAATTGGGTCAGGTCTGCTGCTTTTGTTTATAAGCGGTGATTTAGTAATGCTGCAGACTCTATTTCTCTAGAATGTGTGGTTTTTTTCAAGCAGCGCTGTCTGTTAATTTTGTCAAACTGTTCAGATAGTAGAAGTCTTTCTCATAGGTGCCTACACAGGATTTCAGCAGAATTTCTAATGACTGTATTTGTTCTTACCTTTGGGATATAATGTAGAACTGGAGGAGAAATGTGTTCTCTTTTTATTTTTACCCCATCTGCTCCCAGATTTCTGATGCTATAGAACATCTTCAGGAAGCACTGCAACTGTGCAAAGATGACATGAATTCACTTCATCTGCTGGCCCTCCTCTTTTCGGCTCAGAAGCACTATCAGCATGCACTGGATGTTATCAACATGGCTGTTGTTGAATACCCGGAAAGCTTTAGGTAAGAGTTATTGCATGATGTGATACGTCCAGTCGGGAATGATCTGCTCATTAATTCTGTTCTCAGTTATACACAAGGACCCTCTTAAATCAGGTGTGCTACTGGCGTATCACTCTCCTCCTGGGTGTACTGTGAAGCTAAAACATGTAAGGCTCAGGGTATTCTTTTGATTTTCTGTCTTTATTGTCTTTCTGTTTTTAAAACTAATCCTTGTGCTTGTTTGCTTTTCCACTATTTGTCTTTCTGCATGGTGCTGATGGTGTCTTCTCCCATATATCTCCCTGTACTTTTTTGTATGTCACTTTACACTTGGACAAATGAGTGAGACAACCATGCTGATGTCTGTCTGTATCACAAATAATTTTATATTTGTTAAACTTCCTGGTTAAAGACAAACACGTTCTTCATGTATTGACCATTCTTTTGATGCTCATGATGTATATCATTGTATGACACAATTTGCTGCAATAGCACAGCTGGGGAAAAGGATCGGCTGAAAATCACAAGCTGTAATAAAGTACAGCTGAAAGGATGGTTTGGCTGCCTAAAAGCAGGTTTGAACCAGCACAGACTTCCTGGAGCCAGAGGTTTCCACTGTTCTGTGTTTGACTCAGTCCTTCATCCATCCAAGGGAGATAAATTGAATTCCTTGTGAATTACTGTCATGACCTTTCAAAACAATGAATTTGTCTGTTCTGTGCAAAAAATTAAAGCTACGGTAATACTTTCTAGTGATCACGTACTAACTAAGTTTCTCAGCCAAATGGCAGAAAATCCTGCTGCATTGCTGGAAAACCAACCTCCATTCAGAATTGCCTGTATTTAACTGATGTTTTAAACCCATGCAGCATTGTCTTCCTCAGTGGAGAGAGGGATTGGCTTCCACAGGTGTAGTCCAGCAGCTGAGTGGGACATTGTCTACACCAGAGCAAAGGAAGGTGACAAATGGGATTGAGGCTATCTAAATGTGAGCTTGAATGCTTTAGGATCTTTTAGAACCATCGTGCTCTATCAGCATATAAGGTTTTTCATTGTAAGCTGCATGTTGCCATTTAAAATAGCTCTGCTGCCTGTGTTTTTGAGGTTACTTTGTGTATGTGAGGAGCTAAGACTGTCAGTGCACATCTTTGAGAACGAAGTGAAAATTAGTAATGGAAAAGCTCTTAAAATGATGCTAACATCTCTTCAGTGTGTGAACATGGGTATGATTGAAACAGGAAATACTCCAGTGTCTGCTAACTTGTGTTTTGTGGTTTGAAAGTAATAAGCATAGTAAAAAACCTCAAGTTGTACAGTCAAAGGTCAGATGTTCATCGAGGACTGCAAACACTCAAAGATAGATAAGACGGAAGTGGAAGAGAAGAAACTGGTTGTTTATGTGGGGAACAGAGTATTTGCCATGTCAGATCAACCAACAGCTCCATCAAGTCCTGGATCTTTCCTTCCGCGTTTACTGATAATTTATCTTTCAGGGGAGGACAAAACAAAGAAGCAAAGTAGCTTGAAGGGCTGCTGGGTGCATTCCTTTATGCTGTCTGGTACTCCTGAGTTCCCCAAAGCAGGAAAGAACATTATCTGCTGTGCTTCTATCTATCGGTGCCAATCTTCATGTGCAGAAAGACTTTGCAAGGAATAGCAGAATAGGTTGTTTGTGGTAGAAACAGTTAATATTGGTAGTAAAAGCCACAAGTTCATGTTTACTCTGAGACACAGACTTTCTAGAGTGTGTGCTCTTGGAAGAACTCCTCTTTGCTCCCTGCATGCACTCAGGTACATAACGCAGTTGGCGGTGAGACTCACTCACAGGGATGCAGGAGTAGGGGCTGGTATCTTGCCTCTGCTGCTATGACTGACCTGCCTCAGTGTGGGTCTTTCTCTAAACCAGCAAGCAAATAACTGATGAGTGAGGGAATAGAGAAAGAGTATCAGCGTTGCAAGGCAGAAAAAAATTTTAAAAAGCATTTCTGAAGAAAAAGAACAGGAATCCAATGAGGGAGGAAGCAAGAAAAGTAACAGAATACATCTATAGTTTGTATCAAATCTGAAACTGTTCCAGACTTTCCAGAGATCCCAAGTACAGTTTGTGCTGGGAGGACTTCACTGCTTTGTAAAACCTCTTTGAAGGGAGAAAGACCTGATGCTACTGTGTATCTCCAGTTGATATTGCCTTATAGAAAAATTGTAGTAAATCTTACTACTGCATGGAATGACTACAGGCTGCTTCATGTAAATAATACAAGCAAGTTCAACCACATGATTTCAAAGCTGTATTTAAAAGTGGTTAATTATTTTTCCCAATTCACATTGATATGAATCAGGCAACTGTGTAATGTGGTGCCTGGGGGCTCCCTTCCTAATGACAACTCTTTTTGGAAGCATAGTTTGATGGCATGTATCAAGAAAAGAAGATGAAAGCTGCATTAAAGGACCTTTGGGCTCTGTAGATGGCAAAAAATGTAAGCATTAACTGGATGTATATCCTAAACAAAAGAAAGAATAACAAGAATTAAGGTCTTAGCTGGCCCAAACTACAGGTATCTCATACTGTTTCATTGGGTCTCTATGTAATTAATTAGTTTGTAATTAATTAGTTTGTTCTAGCTTTTATATTTTCATATTAAATCCTTTCATTATATATTTTAAAGAAGGAATCATTCAGGATGTCATGTAGTTGGTTAGTGGTTGAAGCAAGTGGAAAAAATATGCTGCATTGCTCCACTAACATACAACATCCTTTGGTATGAGCCCCATAATACTGACCCAAACGTGTCTAGAAGTGCCCTTGTTAGAGCGTTTAAACTTAAATATTTACTGTGCATTTCAGCAGTTGATATGGTGCACAGGGAGGAGAGAGATGAAAGCTAGACACTGAATACAGTGAGACATGAACTGGAATGCTTTGGGTCGAGCTGTTGGAGAAGAATGTTGAAGAACAGCTGGATATCCAAAAGCACAAATTGTTCAGAAAAATGAGCTTTGGAAGATCTCTTCTGCTTGAAAGGCAGCATATAAGACAAATGCATCACATTACGGTCAGTGAATGACTGAATTTGAGCACTTGGATGTACTGTCAAGCCATGACAGAGGAAGAATGAGAGCTAGCTATGTTGGACGTATTGCAAGATGGGGTGAACCAGAAGAAATGTACTGCCTTGCTGTGTCTACAAAAGATAGAAATAATAGCAACCTTTACAAGGCAGATATCACCTGAAAAATCACCAGCTGCTATGGAGGCAGACTGTCCAGGATAAAATTTAGCGTTTTTATGTTCTGACAATGTTGGTGCACTTTTAAAAGTAGTTAATCAATGCAGTACCAACAGTTGGTTTTGGTATATATTTTAAACCACTGCCTCCAGTGCATTTGGGAGAGAAGACTCCTGATAGCATCAGGTATCTCCCTTCCAGGTCATTGCTGCTGATCATAAGACTTTCTTAAGATGGATTCCTTCAGGTTTCTTCCAACTCAAAGGTCAGCCTTTTGGGGCCAGCTGTAATTGCCTCCCCTAGCTTCTCTTCAGGATAGATCTTTTACCTGGAAGAAATAATATTAGTGAGCACCCCTCTTGCCCCCCAGGTGATCTTAAAATAATGCATTGTTTATTTAGAAAGAAAATATTTCCCTTTTTAAAGCCTGTATTCACACCTCACAAAATGTTCTGTGCAGAAGTCCCGTAGGTCTGGCAGCCTGCAGAACCCACCAGAGAGTGCGGCCGATGCAGTCCTGTATCCTCAGCTGGTAATATTTGCTCCTTCCTGTTTTGCTCATGTAAAATTGACTTTGTCCTCCTGGCTCGCCCACTCTTCCAGAGACTGTTTTGCTCTCTGGTCATCTTTTAGCTCTAATTGGTTAGCTCCCAGCACTGGAAAAAAATGAAGGTCTGTACCTAGCCTGAGGTTGGAAATAGGATATCAATTTTATGGATACTCTATTGCTTTATAATTGCTCCCAGACTGCTTATCAAAACCTATTCTGTTTGCCAGCTTGTTTTTTGTCTCCTGGACGGCCCTGTTAAGTTAGAACAATACATTCTTTTGGCATAACGTATAACAACTTCTAATCACTGCCCGATGTGATGGTGAATGTTTTGTTAAATGATCATGTCTTTTCTGTCTGTAGCAGTTCTGCATCTGCCACAGCAGTCGTAACTCTTAAATCAATAGCTGCTAATATTCCTTCTCTTCCCAAACTATAAGTCACTATTCTGTTGCTTTCAGAGTCTCAAAACTAGTTTTAAAGAGAAATAACAGAAAACTTTTGAGAAGTGTTGCTATTCTACACATAAAGACTCAAAAAGAAACAAGTGGGTTGGTGTTTTGGAGCAACGTAGCTATCAAATGCAGATGCTTTTGTTCTATCCAGATATTTGCTATCACAAAAGTAATTACTGTAAATGTAGTGCAAAAAAAGCTCAGAAGGCCAAGAAATATTAAATGCGTATCTTGGAGACCATCAATAAAAAAGGAAGTAAATTTCACATGGGGAATTGTGTGTGTCATCTTGGTTTTGTTCTAGCAGAAAGGTTTTTTTGCTACAGCTAGCCCTCAAAATACAAAGTCCTCTTCTAGATTAGAAGTGGTTTACTGACAGCAAATGTCCTTGACTTCATTGCTAATTTCATTAAGGACCTGTGAAGTAATTGTCTGGCAAGATTTATTTGTCATAGCCTGGTGCAGATTTACTGTAGAGAGAGCTATTCTGTGGTATATAAGCAATGTCATTGACCAGGTGCTTCCACTCACAAAAAAAAGCAAAACCAAAAAAACCCAGTGGAAAGTCAGGATCTCAAAATGCATGATTAAACTGGCATTTCCAGTTAGAATTCTTTTTCCATTACGTGTCAGGCTATTTCTTGTATGTTGAAAATAAACAACTCATGCCTTCTTCGAGCAATATCTTTATGGGCGCTAGTGGAGTACTACAGTATTGTTGACAGCCATAAAGTAAACTGTCTTTTGCCTATAATCTTCATAGGGAATGAATCAGTTGTCTCACAGTCA